CCCTTCCTAACTCCCTACCTACACTCACCTTTCCTGGCCCCATCCCCCTTTTCTGATGAAGGGTCTAGGCCCGAAACGTCAGCCTCTCTGCTCCTATGATGCTGCTTGGCCTGCTGTGTTCATCCAGCCCTGCACCTTGTTGTCTCGGATTCTCCAGCATCTGCAGTTCCTACTGTCTCTGATAAATTTATATAACATGTTTAACTGCTTCATGGGAGCAACTTCAGTCAGAAAAATGACTGTGAGCAAAAGGAGGAGATATCAGGAATGTGACCAAGTAACTGATCAAAGAAACAGCATTTAAGGACCATCTTAAAGGAGGAGAGGTAGGAGGGGAGGAAATTCCAGAGTTTAGAACCTTGATAGCAGAAAACATAGCCTCAAGTAGTGGAGAATGCACAAAAGCCAGAGGTGATGAAACAAAGACCTCTCAATGGTTTGTGGACTTGGAGGAGAGATGGAAGTGGGAAAGGGAAAGGATGGATTTTAATGTAAGGATGCAAATTTCTAATCCAAAGTTTTGCTGAATCAGGGCAGTTTGGTCAGGAAACACAGACGTGATGAGTAAGTGAAACCTGGTACACATTAGGTTGCAAAAACAAAATTTTGGATGAACTTAATTTTATAGAGGGTAAAAGATGGCACGCTGGTCAGCAGAACATTGGAGTAGTCAAGTCTGGAGGTTAAAAAAATGGCATGGATGATAATTTCAGCAACACATGGGCATAGAAAAGGCAGAGACAGATACTGTTATTGGAAGTAGAAATTGATAGTCTTTGTAATGGCGAGGATATAGGGTCAGTAGCTCTGTTTAGGGTCATGTAGGAAGCTGAGATTACAAGTAGACTGATTCAAACTGAGGCAGGAGCCATAAATAGGGATGAAATTATGACAAAGAAACAGGGTTCTTTGACAACGGCAAAAAACAATAGGTACAATCTTGCCAAAAGGGCAACCGTCATGTTTAAGCCAATTTTCTGAACGAAACATTGATGTTAGGCTGTGTAATGTATTGTAGATAATAATGGGATTTTTGAGTCAGTTTATGAATTTTTTTTGTGTCACAAACTTCCACAAGGATTTCAGAGGATGTAATCGTCTTATGAAATGTCAGGTATTTTTACAACTGGCTTGTCTCGCTTGGCAGGGGCACTATTTCAAAACTGACATTCAAATTAAGAAAAATGCAGTCTTGCAAATGTAATTCCCCTTCTTTACAGCAAACACTAAAAGGTTTCATCAGTGGGATTAAGTGGCTCAAGGATCATGTGCTATTTACACTACACCCATCCACAAATTGAACCACTTCCTTTCGTGCCTAACATCAATCAGTGGTAAGCAATCTCAGCACACATTGCCTGCTCTGATCTCTAACCTCAAAATTACAACTAATTCACAATCAGCACTGCCCAAATAAGGAAACTAAAAATGCCTTTAAACACATTTATCTTTCATCAGTAATAAGAATTTTGTAAATCAAAGTAGAATCTTTGATTGGATTTTTTTTTTAAGTGGTAAATGACCCAATTGTTCCGAATTCCAGTGAACTTCATTTTTACAGCCTGACTCTGGCAAATCTCTCGGACAAATATAAAGCCAATATTTTTAAATTAAAATGTAGATCTCCAATGTACATTGTTGATTGGTACTGTAGCACTTTTGGTGTAGTTTCTGGTGTCTATTGTGGTCTTGCTGCAACTTAAACACTACTGCAGCCTCACCTATTGCTGAAATACAGAAAATAATCCAGAACTAGTAAAGAACAGGGCTGATTCAAGTTAAAATACACGAACCTTGCAGAAAAAAAACTGAGAACTTGCGGAAAGTCCTGGAAATTCATCTCGTAGAAGATCATTTCTTTCAAATAGCCTGCAAAGCTTCCGGTATGACAAGAAAGAAGCAGATGTTCATGACAAGCTGGAACTATCCCAGCCACCACGTTGGGCAGAAAATTATCGTGTAGTGCCCCCAACCTGCCCAAAAAGACAGGCAGTGGGTTCTTTGCCTTGTAAATAGGAGCCCTGGCAGCTGCTGAAACATCCTTTGAAGAATTGGTTTGCCATGAAGCAGCCAGTGGTAGTTATGCTCAGGGAAAACCAAGTGTGACCTGATGGGCACCCTGTAACCAATTTAAGGTAAAACTTCTCAATATACATATCCGAATATGGAGGCAGGAGGAACAGGCTGTTACTTCCCCCTTCCTGGCTCTGCTTCTTCCTGATCCAGTCAACTTTTCCCAGTTATTCTACTTCTATCCTCCTCTGTCCGCTGTCATTTTATACCCTTTGCTTTCTGTCTCATGGTTGACGCATGGAACTTGTTCAAGGTGCGGACACTTTTCTGTCTTTGCCTAATCGCTATTCTTTCCTGTTTTCCCTCTAAAATTGCCCCTCAAAATACTAAATTCCAGCCCTGTGCCTGGAAATGTCTTCAACCCTACAATCCACCAAGAAATCTGTCTAATCAAGTTCCTCCCATAACCTGTTCTACTCGGCCATTTCTGGCTTCTTGAGAATCCCAGATTTTAATGACTGTACCATTGGTGGCCATGCCTTCAGTTGCCAAGGCCCTCGTTCATAATATGCCTTCCCTGAACCTCTTTCCTCCTTTAGACACTGTTCAAAACCTACTTCTTTGACAAGGCTTTTGCTCATCTGTTATAATATTTCGTCATGTGACTTGGTGTCACATTTTGTTTGATAACATTCCTGCGAAGCACCCTATACTCTGATAAATGTGCCGGATAAATATAGGCTTTTATGCTCCCACATTGTCCTGATTTTTCACTTTGACCAGGGAGTCCAGACCAGAGGTCACAGTTTAAGGAGACGGAATAGGCCATTTGGGACTGGTATGAGAAGACATTTCTTCACCCAGAGAGTAGTGAGTCTGTGGAATTCTCTGCCACAGAAAGCATTGAGGCTGAAACATTGAATGTTTTCAAGCAGGAGTTAGCTCTCCTTGTTAGGGCTCATGGGATCAAAGGGTATGGGATGGAAGTGGAACAGAGTACTGAGTAGGATGATCACTGTGATCATATTGAATATCAGACTTGAAGGGCCAAGTAGCCTACACCTGTTCCTGTTTTCCTCTGTTTCCTCTCCTTGCCTTGCTAATTCCAGCAGTCCACCTCAACTGTCCTCTATCTGCCTTGTTAATATGCACATGCTCTAATACTGCCCATTCCCTGACGTGTAAATATGTACACAGTTTTGTACAACCTTCTCTCTGATTGACATCCACGTATTCAACCTTACACTGTTCACTCTTTGCCATGTAAATACACACGCATTCTTACACTACCCTATCTCTTGTTAATAAGTGCACAGCTACAACCCTCTTTCTGTCCTGTTAATATACACAGTCTAACACTGTCTGCTTCCTGTCGTGTAAATATGCACACAATCTTGCATTGTCACCTCTCTACGTTGTTAATATGCACAGACTATCTCACGTTGTCTCCTCTCTGTCTTTTAATTCTCACATTGATGATCTCAATTGCTTTGGATGAAGGGAATTATTACTTGTAGGGCGGAAGTCTCTAGTAAAAGATGAAAGATTTACTCCCACCCCCTGAACAGTGTGGTTCATGGCGAAAAGTGAGTGAATAGACCAGCGAGTTTGCTACATCAAGACTAAAATGTCCCATTTTCCAACCAAATGTTGAAAGCAGAGACAAGATTCTAAGCAGTGGGCAATGGGGAGCCTATTAGCATTCATTATCCAGCCCATTATTGTTAAATTGCAGCGCACTGCCAGCTTACCTCAGCTATTGTTTAACCCACAACAGGCAATGGACCACACCAAGCTTTAGATACCTGGTCTAGTGTCGAGCAAAGTGAAGTGATCCCCATCAGAGCTTTTCCAGCAACTTTGTTTTTGTTCCCAACAGAGGATGTTATTTGCTATTAATTGTTCTTAATTAATAACCCAGACTTAATCAGTGTGGGGGCAGAAAAGCGTTGTATGGGACCCTTCCACCTGATCAAACATTCAGAGACAAAAATAGAAATTGCCAGAAAAGCTCAGCAGCATCTGTGGAGAGAAATCAGAGTTAACATTGCGGGTCAAAACTCAGAAGTTCTGAGGAAGGGGAACTCAACCTGAAACGTTAACTGATTCCTCTCCACAGATGCTACCAGACCTGCTGAGCTTTTCCAACAATTTATATTTTTCTCTCTGATTTACAGCATCCGCAGTTCTTTCGGTTTTTATTAGATTAAACGTTTGTACTGCCATTCAACTCCCCACAGGGCATTAAATTCCATTCTATGTATGTTAAAAATTATATTTAAACCCATGTGAGGATTTCGTAAAAATCTGAAAGACTTTTTTTCAAAATTGAGATGGAATATAAATGAATAATTTACATTTTTGATAAGTATATTTTTCCTTATTCTCATTCAAGTCTTTTGCTGTTTTGGAGTTCAAGAAACACTGATGTTTTGCAGAGTCTTTTGTTTGCACACAGGTTTTAATTCCTCTAACTCGTTGCAATTCCCACAAGGAAACCATACAAGGACAGTTGAAGGTTAGGAATCCAGGGCTGTATTTGCTGATTTTTGATAACTCTTTTTCCAGGTAAGCTCTCTGATTTGGACTTAAACTCAGTACAGTCAATCCCTATTTAAAGTCGCCTCAGTTAACATTGTTTTGCTTTAACGTCGTTAGTAAAATAGTGACAATATTTGTTTAATGCTTTGAGTTTTAGTTTAACACTGTTTGCCAGACTTCCTGTTGTGTCCCTCCACCTTTCAAGACCTTTCCCCATAGAATCATACAGCATGGAAACCAACCCTTAGGTCCTACCAGTCCATACCGACCATAATCCCAAACTAAACTAGTCCTACCTGCCTGTGCTTGGCCCATATCCTTCCAAACATTTCCAATTCATGAACTTATTCAAATGTCTTTTAAACATTGTAACTGTACTTGCATCCACCACTTTCCCTGGCAGTTCATTCCACACACGGTCCACCCTCTGTATGAAAAAGTTGCCCCTTATGTCCTTTTTAAATCTCTCTCCTCTCAAATTAAAAATATGTCCCCTAGTTTTGAACTCCCCCACCCTAGGAAAAAGACCCTTGTAATTCACCTTATCCAAGCCCCTCATGATTTTATAAATCTCAGTAAGGTCACCCTTCAACCTCCTACGCTCCAGTAAAAGAAGCCCCTGTCTTTCCAGTCTCTTTTTATATCTCAAACCCTCCAGTCCCGGCAACATCCTGGTAAATCTTTTCTGAACACTCTCCAGCTTAACAATATCCTTCCTATAGTGGGGAGACCAACCAGAAGAAACTATTCAGAGATAGTAGGAACTGCAGATGCTGGAGAATCTGAGACAACAAGGTGCAG